CAAACCACTCGGCCACGACTACTGCTATGTTGACCTGTTTAACACAGCAATGGGATCGACAAATTTTGGAATCATCACATAAATAATGTGCGCCAACATTGATATCAGCAATGAAACTTTCAAATAATTCAAAATTAGTCCAAGTAGAGAAATTGTGTTTATTGCTACACTTGCATTTCGAGTATACATACCCTAAATAGACTTAGTCGGCAGGATTCGAACCTGCGCGGGCAGAGCCCAATGGATTTCTAGTCCATCGCCTTAACCACTCGGCCACGACTACTGCTATGTTGTACTGTTTAACACAGCAATGGGATCGACATATTTTGGAATCATCACATAAGTAATGTGCGCCAACATTGATATCAACAACAGACGTTTACTGTCTCAATGAAACTGACAAATAATTCAAAATTAGTCCAAGTAGAGAAATTGTGTTTATTGCTACACTTGCATTTCGAGTATACATACCCTAAATAGACCTAGTCTGCAGGATGCGAACCTGCGCGGGCAGAGCCCAATGGATTTCTAGTCCATCGCCTTAACCACTCGGCCACAACTACTGCAATGTTGTACTGTTTAACACAGCAATGGGATCGACAAATTTTGGAATCATCACATAAGTAATGTGCGCCAACATTGATATCAACAACAGACGTTTACTGTCTCAATGAAACTGACAAATAATTCAAAATTTGTCCATGTCGAAAAATTGTGTTTATTGCTACACTTGCATTTCGAGTATACATACCCAAAATAGACATAGTCGGCAGGATTCGAACCTGCGCGGGCAGAGTCCAATGGATTTCTAGTCCATCGCCTTAACCACTCGGCCACGACTACTGCTATGTTGTACTGTTTAACACAGCAATGGGATCGACAAATTTTGGAATCATGACATAAGTAATGTGTGCCAACATTGATATCAACAACAAATGTTTACTGTCTCAATGACACTTTCAAATAATTCAAAATTAGGCTATATAAGGGTATTGTGTTTATTGCTACACTTGCATTTCGAGTATACATACCCTAAATAGACGTAGTCGACAGGATTCGAACCTGCGCGGGCGGAGCCCAACGGATTTCTAGTCCATCGCCTTAACCACTCGGCCACGACTACTGCTATGATGTACTGTTTAACACAGCAATGGGATCGACAAATTTTGGAATCATCACATAAGTAATGTGCGCCAACATTGATATCAACAATAGACGTTTACTGTCTCAATGAAACTTTCAAATAATTCAAAATTAGTCAAAGTAGAGAAATTGTGTTTATTGCTACACTTGCATTTCGAATATGCATACCCTAAATAGACGTAGTCGGCAGGATTCGAACCTGCGCGGGCAGAGCCCAATGGATTTCTAGTCCATCGCCTTAACCACTCGGCCACGACTACTGTTATGTTGTACTGTTTAACACAGCAATGGGATCGACAAATTTTGGAATCATCACATAAGTAATGTGCACCAACATTGATATCAACAACAGACGTTTACTGTCTCAATGAAACTTTCAAATAATTCAAAATTAGGCCATATAAGGGAATTGTGTTTATTGCTACACTTGCATTTCGAGTATACATACCTAAACAGACGTAGTCGGCAGTATTCGATCCAGCGCGGGCAGAGCCCAAATGGATTTCTAGTACATCGCCTTAACCACCCAGCCACGACTACGACTATGTTGTACTATTTTACACAACAATGGGATCGACAAATTTTGGAATCATCACAATAAGTAATGTGCGCCAACATTGATATCACAACAGACGTTTACTGTCTCAATGAAACTTTCAAATAATTCAAAATTAGCTATATAAGGGAATTGTGTTATTGCTACACTTGCATTTCGAGTATACATAACCTAAATAGACGTAGTCAGCAGGATTCGAACCTGCGAATGGATTTCTAGTCCATCGCCTTAACCACTCGGCCACGACTACTGCTGTGTTGTGCTGTTTAACACAGCAATGGGATCGACAAATTTTTGAATCATCACATAAGTAATGTGCGCCAACATTGATATAAACAATAGACGTTTACTGTCTTAATGATACTGTCAAATAATTCAAAATTAGGCTATATAAGGGAATTGTGTTTATTGCTACACTTGCATTTCGAGTATACATACCCTAAATAGACGTAGTCAGCAGGATTCGAACCTGCGCGGGCTGAGCCCAATGGCTTTCTCGTCCATCGCCTTAACCGCTCGGCCACGACTACTGCTATGTTGTACTGTTTAACACAGCAATGGGATCGACAAATTTTGGAATCATCACATAAATAATGTGCGCCAACATTGATATCAACAATGAAACTTTCAAATAATTCAAAATTAGGCCAAGTAGAGAACTTGTGTTTATTGCTACACTTGCATTTCGAGTATACATAACCTAAATAGACGTAGTCAGCAGGATTCGAACCTGCGAATGGATTTCTAGTCCATCGCCTTAACCACTCGGCCACAACTACTACTATGTTGTACTGTTTAACACAGCAATGGGATCGACAAATTTTGGAATCATCACATAAGTAATGTGCGCCAACATTGACATCAACAATAGACGTTTACTGTCTCAATAAAACTTTCAAATAATTCAAAATTAGGCCAAGTAAAGAAATTGTGTTTATTGCTACACTTGCATTTCGAGTATACATACCCTAAATAGACGTAGTCGTCAGGATTCGAACCTGCGCTGGCAGAGTCCAATGGATTTCTAGTCCATCGCCTTAACCACTCGGCCACGACTACTGCTCTGCTGTACTGTTTAACACAGCAATGGGATCAACAAATTTTTGGAATCATCACATAAGTAATGTGCGCCAACATTGATATCAACACTGTACTGTTTAACTCAGCAATGGGATCGACAAATTTTGGAATCACCACATAAGTAATGTGCGCCAACATTGATATCAACAACAGACGTTTACTGTCTCAATGAAACTTTCAAATAATTCAAAATAAGGCCATATAAGGGAATTGTGTTTAATGCTACACTTGCATTTCGAGTATACATACCAAAAATAGACGTAGTCGGCAGGATTCGAACCTGCGCGGGCAGAGCCCAATGGATTTCTAGTCCATCGCCTTAACCACTCGGCCACGACTACTGCTCTGCTGTACTGTTTAACACAGCAATGGGATCAACAAATTTTGGAATCATCACATAAGTAATGTGTGCCAACATTGATATCAACAACAGACGTTTAATGTCTCAATGAAACTGACAAATAATTCAAATTAGCCCAGTAGAAAAATTGTGTTTATTGCTACACTGCATTTCGAGTATACATACCCTAAATACTCGTAGTCGGCAGGATTCGAACCTGCACGGGCTGAGCCCAATGGATTTCTAGTCCATCGCCTTAACCACTCGGCCACGACTACTGCTGTGTTGTACTGTTTAACACAGCAATGGGATCGACAAATTTTGGAATCATCACATAAATAATGTGCGCCAACATTGATATCAACAATGAAACTTACAAATAATTCAAAATTAGGCCAAGTAGAGAACTTGTGTTTATTGCTACACTTGCATTTCGAGTATACATAACCTAAATAGACGTAGTCAGCAGGATTCGAACCTGCGAATGGATTTCTAGTCCATCGCCTTAACCACTCGGCCACAACTACTGCTATGTTGTACTGTTTAACACAGCAATGGGATCGACAAATTTTGGAATCATCACATAAGTAATGTGCGCCAACATTGACATCAACAATAGACGTTTACTGTCTCAATAAAACTTTCAAATAATTCAAAATTAGGCCAAGTAAAGAAATTGTGTTTATTGCTACACTTGCATTTCGAGTATACATACCCTAAATAGACGTAGTCGTCAGGATTCGAACCTGCGCGGGCAGAGTCCAATGGATTTCTAGTCCATCGCCTTAACCATTCGGCCACGACTACTGCTATGTTGTACTGTTTAACACAGCAATGGGATCGACAAATTTTGGAGTCATCACATAAGTAATGTGCGCCAACATTGATATCAACAACAGACGTTTAATGTCTCAATGAAACTGTCAAATAATTCAAAATTAGGCTATATAAGGGAATTGTGTTTATTGCTACACTTGCATTTCGAGTATACATACCCTAAATACTCGTAGTCGGTAGGATTCGAACCTGCACGGGCAGAGCCCAATTGATTTCTAGTCCATCGCCTTAACCACTCGGCCACGACTACTGCTATTTTGTCCTGTTCAACACTGCAATGGGATTGACGAATTTTGGAATCATCACATAAGTAATGTGCGCCAACATTGATATCAACAATAGACGTTTACTGTCTTAATGATACTGTCAAATAATTCAAAATTAGGCTATATAAGGGAAATGTGTTTATTGCTACACTTACATTACGAGTATACATACCCTAAATAGACGTAGTCGGCAGGATTCGAACATGAGCGGGCAGAGCCCAATGGATTTCTAGTCCATCGCCTTAACCACTCGGCCACGACTACTGCTATGTTGTCCTGTTCAACACTGCAATGGGATCGACAAATTTTGGAATCATCACATTAGTAATGTGCGCCAACATTGACATCAACAATAGACGTTTACTGTCTCAATGATACTGTCAAATAATTCAAAATTAGTATATAAGGGAATTGTGTTTATTGCTACACTTGCATTTCGAGTATACATACCCTAAATACTCGTAGTCTGCAGGATTCGAACATGCACGGGCAGAGCCCAATGGATTTCTAGTCCATCGCCTTAACCACTCGGCCACGACTACTGCTATTTTGTCCTGTTCAACACTGCAATAGGATCGACGAATTTTGGAATCATCACATAAGTAATGTGCGCCAACATTGATATCAACAATAGACGTTTACTGTCTTAATGATACTGTCAAATAATTCAAAATTAGGCTATATAAGGGAAATGTGTTTATTGCTACACTTACATTACGAGTATACATACCCTAAATAGACGTAGTCGGCAGGATTCGAACATGAGCGGGCAGAGCCCAATGGATTTCTAGTCCATCGCCTTAACCACTCGGCCACGACTACTGCTATGTTGTCCTGTTCAACACTGCAATGGGATCGACAAATTTTGGAATCATCACATTAGTAATGTGCGCCAACATTGACATCAACAATAGACGTTTACTGTCTCAATGATACTGTCAAATAATTCAAAATTAGTATATAAGGGAATTGTGTTTATTGCTACACTTGCATTTCGAGTATACATACCCTAAATAGACGTAGTCAGCAGGATTTGAACCTGCACGGGCAGAGCCCAATGGCTTTCTAGTCCATCGCCTTAACCACTCGCCCACGACTACTGCTATGTTGTACTGTTTAACACAGCAATGGGATCGACAAATTTTGGAATCATCACATAAGTAATGTGCGCAAACATATCAACAATAGACATTTACTGTCTCAATGAAACTTTCAAATAATTCAAAATTATGCCAAGTAGAGAAATTGTGTTTATTGCTACACTTGCATTTCGAGTATACATACCCTAAATACTCGTAGTCGGCAGGATTCGAAACTGCGCGGGCATAGCCCAATGGATTTCTAGTCCATCGCCTTAACCACTCGGCCACGACTACTGCTGTGTTGTACTGTTTAACACAGCAATGGGATCGACACATTTTTGAATCATCACATAAGTAATGTGCGCCAACATTGATATAAACAATAGACGTTTACTGTCTTAATGATACTGTCAAATAATTCAAAATTAGGCTATATAAGGGAATTGTGTTTATTGCTACACTTGCATTTCGAGTATACATACCCTAAATAGACGTAGTCAGCAGGATTCGAACCTGCGCGGGCTGAGCCCAATGGCTTTCTCGTCCATCGCCTTAACCACTCGGCCACGACTACTGCTATGTTGTACTGTTTAACACAGCAATGGGATCGACAAATTTTGGAATCATCACATAAATAATGTGCGCCAACATTGATATCAACAATGAAACTTTCAAATAATTCAAAATTAGGCCAAGTAGAGAACTTGTGTTTATTGCTACACTTGCATTTCGAGTATACATAACCTAAATAGACGTAGTCAGCAGGATTCGAACCTGCGAATGGATTTCTAGTCCATCGCCTTAACCACTCGGCCACAACTACTGCTATGTTGTACTGTTTAACACAGCAATGGGATCGACAAATTTTGGAATCATCACATAAGTAATGTGCGCCAACATTGACATCAACAATAGACGTTTACTGTCTCAATAAAACTTTCAAATAATTCAAAATTAGGCCAAGTAAAGATATTGTGTTTATTGCTACACTTGCATTTCCAGTAAACATACCCTAAATAGACGTAGTCGTCAGGATTCGAACCTGCGCGGGCTGAGCCCAATGGCTTTCTCGTCCATCGCCTTAACCACTCGGCCACGACTACTGCTATGTTGTACTGTTTAACACAGCAATGGGATCGACAAATTTTGGAATCATCACATAAATAATGTGCGCCAACATTGATATCAACAATGAAACTTTCAAATAATTCAAAATTAGGCCAAGTAGAGAACTTGTGTTTATTGCTACACTTGCATTTCGAGTATACATAACCTAAATAGACGTAGTCAGCAGGATTCGAACCTGCGAATGGATTTCTAGTCCATCGCCTTAACCACTCGGCCACGACTACTGCTATGTTGTCCTGTTCAACACTGCA